AATCCGTGAAAGAGTTTCATTATTTTTACTTAAAAGATTAATTCTATTGGATGTTTGAGGGAATTACGATAGCCGGTAAGGTCTGACTGGATACAATAAGGTTTTTATCAGACCCAGTCCATGTTGTTGTGCATCAGCTTCTTAAGAGGAAGATGCTGGTCCATGACTTTCTAATCAACGCGTCTAAACGAGCGTCAGTGGATGTTACCTGAGATCGGAAACCTTAATCATCCAGTAACAGTGCTTCAGCATAAAGCTGGAAGTGAATTGGTCCGGTTTAATTCCACCACAAATTACAGACATATCCATCTCTGGTTGGCCTCATTAAGGCCTTCGAGTTTTTTATCACTAGCTTCGTGCTCAACTCTCCTTAGTGGAGGAATATCCATACTTCACTGGTTAATTGTATCATGGTTCATCGATGTTGCGGGTAAGCTTTCTTCGCAGGCATTTCACGAGTGTCATTTTATTACTGATCAGGTTCCAAAATGGAACCAAATTGTTTTGAATCAGATGAGACGATCACCGCCGATACAGCCCTGCAAATCACAAATGACTATTTATTTTGAAAAATGCAAGGTTTTGGTATTTACTTTTATGTCCGTACACTTCCGTTTGTCTGTAGTGAAGTGTCACGAAGGCGACTTTCGATGTAGCAGTGGAGAATGTATTCGTCCTCAACAGCAGTGCGATGGCAGTCGCGACTGTGCGGATGGCTCTGACGAAATAAACTGCAGTATGTCTAACTTCCTTTGGCTGCTCCCGTGAAATTTCTTGTCTCTTTGCTCAAAATCTTGTTGCGTTTTAATTGCCGACTATCATTTTAATTGCCGATTTCAACACCATGCATTTGCCTGCTATAGTACACCTAACTGTGAACATCTTAATCTTGTCGATCTGACTGATCATACGCCTGTCAGTTTAATCACAGATGTGTGTGACGCAGTTTCAATTGCAGCAGTAGTTTAAGTGGTGCACCTCATATACCCGTAGTCCCAGCACTTTCCTCCCGGGAAAATGGTGGTTGTAGGGGTGTTGGGGTGGGTAAATAGGACAGGCAATGGAATATGCTTTAATAACTGATATATACCGTTTTATTTATTGTATTTAGGGCAACAGTCGTTTAAGTAGTGCACCTCATATACCCCTAGTCTAAGCATGTTGTCCTAGGAAAATTGTGGTTAAAGGTGTTGGCGATAAGCATTCGTTTCTTGTCAGAAAATGTCATTGTTTTTGCGTGGCGAGCGAAGCCACAAGTGGCCAATAGTGTGACCGTTGAAAGGTCCGCCGAGTCCAGTCCGGTCATTCCAGTCCTTGTTATTAATCAATAGATCACGGCGAGGGAACCTTTAAACTAATGCTTGTAATTAATAGTAGACGGTTTTTGAACCGGCTCTTTGGCAGCTGATATTAGTGCGTATACGAAGAAGACAGAGATGTTCGTGAAGTAACCCTTCGTCAGTCGGTCATCGACTGGTTCTCACGCAGGTAGTGCATTGTTCACTTGCTGTGGGAGAATAATCGTCACATTGCTATACCGGAGGAGTCGTTTGGGTAACTGCGCTATAAGGTGAAGTCAGATTTGACCACCGCATCTTACTTTTCCGAGCGCTCGAATAGGGGATTCGGACTTCGAACAGGCAGTAGCAGGCGGGAAGTATTCTAACCAATGACTTATAAGTAAAACACATATATGTGTGTCAGTGTGTGTTGCATCGGATCGTGGACCTGATTCATCCAAAAACTATGACCCAGAGGAAATTTAAATTAGAATTGAGCTGTCTTACTTTATGACATCTCGAGCGGTCCTGAGCAAAGCTTTCGACTTTTCTCCCCGTAGTCTCCTGCTTTACTCTCCTTAACTGAATAGTGCTCAGTAGTTTGACTTCACTTGATCAGATTTTGCCGAATTAGCAGAGCAAGGTGTCCTCGCATGCTTTCCAAGAGCATTATTTGGGCGCGGATTATGCTCCACTGTGTTTTGAATCAAATAAAGCGCCCGATGGTGCGTATTCACAAACCACAGTTTCTTTACTTTAATTAAATCGCAAAAAATTTTTAATGGCCTTCCGCTTTCCTACACAATATTTTGCCCCTAGCCAAGTGTCGCGACGGGGATGTCCGATGTGGCAGTGGAGAATGTATTCGGCCCCAACAGCAATGTGATGGCAGGCAGGACTGTGCGGATGGTTCCGACGAACTTAACTGTGGTACGTCTACACTACATTAACCTCTGATCTGTGTTCACGAAGTAACACTTTGAATGCGCTCCGTGTCGGTAGACATTTTTTTCCCTTATCAAGCTGTCAGATTACATAAATTCAAGCGCGAGTTGTTCGTGCCTGATCA